ATAGGGTCATAAAATATATATTCAGAACTATTTGAAATGTAATTGGAGTATTTTAAGAAAAAGGCATACAGCCCCTAAACCCAGTACTTTCAAGCTTCTCTCTCAATTTGCAGAACTGTCTGAAGTCAAATACTCTTCTCTTCCTCAACTTTTGCTATGATTAGTCTCCACAGGTCACATGAAATGGAATATAATTGGAATGAATTAGCTTTTCTTGTTTTGGAAGATCTGGGTTTCTTTTTTCTTTTTTAAAAAAATAGTACATTAGGTCTGCCAGGAGTGAAATCTGTTAGTACATTCACAATCAAATATATCAGTATATCTCTGGTACAATACCCAGTAAAAATATTCCTGGTTTAAAATCAATCTGACTTTTTGTCATTTTTTCCAACCATGTGTGGATTCTAGTCCAATATTTTTTCACCTCTGCGCATGTCCACCACATATGGTAAAATGAGCCAGGTATCTGATGACATTTCCAACATTTTTCAGATTTATTCTTAAACATTTTTGCTATTCTCATTGGGGGAAGATGCCACCTGTAAAACATCTACAAATTTTCTTTATATGCAGTTGACATTGTCATTTTATAATTTTGAGACCATAGTTTTTGCCATCTCTCTAAGTCAATCCCATATCCAAAATTTTTCCCCCATGCAATCATTGTTTCTTTAACTTGTTCTTCTTCTAATTTAACCTCTAATAAATACCCGTATAATTTCTCAATCACCTTTTCATCAGTACCTGTTAAAATTTTATCTAAAGCAGTCAATTTATCATAAAAACCTGTTTTGAGATCTTTATCATATCTAGAATGTATTTGCACATATGAAAACCAATTCATCCTTATACCTCGTTGCTCCAATTCTTGCATAGATTTATTCTTCACCCTTTTCATTCATAATTTCGCCATATCTAACTGTTTGTTCCATTTTATATATCACTGGATATGAAAATGCTTCTATAGTTGAAAGCCAGACTGGAACTTTCAGATAGTGTTGCCTTTTAATCTTCTCCCAACTTAATAATAAAGCCTCTCGTATATAGTATCTTCTAAAATATCCATGTGTTTTAGTTTCCTTGTACCATAGGAAAACATGCCAACCCAACAACAAATCATGTCCTTCAAGTGTCAATAGTCTGGTATTTCTCAATGTAATCCATTCCTTGACCCACATTAGAGTTGTTGCTTGATAATATAACCCCCAATTTGGCAGACTGAACCCACCTCTTATTTTAGCATCTTGTAATAACTTTAATTTTATTCTTGCTTTTTTCCCCTGCCAGATATATTTCAGCACTATTTTATTCAACTCATCAAAATACTCTTTCCCTAATCTAATTGGAATTGTCTGGAACAAATATAAATTTTTTGGTAAAAAAATCATTTTAATTGTTGATATTCTCCCTATAAAAGATAATTGTAACTTTTCCCATTTTGCCAGGTCTGTCACAATCTGTTGCTTGAGTTTATTATAATTATTCTCTTTAAGTATGCCACATCTTGCTGTCAAATATATTCCCAGGTATTTAACCTTATTCGTGACCTGGATTTCCAGGACTTCTGCCAATTCTTCCCACTTTCAAGCTTCTCTCTCAATTTGTGGAACTGTCTGAGGTCAAATACTCTTCTCCCCCTCAACTTTTGCTATCATTAGTCTCCACAGGTCACATGGAATGAAATATAATTGGAATGAATTAGCTTTTCTTGTTTTAGGAGATCTAGGATTTTTTTTAAAAAAATAGTACATTAGGTCTGCCAGGAGTGAAATTTTTCAAAGCACATGGATTGATCAGCTATTGAGAGAATGATGCTAATTCTAATGTTTTACTCCCAGACAGAGGCACTCCAGGGTGCTTTTTTGCTACACCTAGGAAAATGCTAGGGCAGCTTCTGAAGAATGTTCTAACTCAAAAATCCTTGCTCTGAGGATGTCTTAATTGGCTGGATCAAGTCAGTGGATATGTGTATATCTGTCTGTTTGTCATCTCTCTATCTCTATCTATCTCTACATATCTCTACATCTATCTATCTGTCTGTCTGTCTATCTATCTATCTATCTATCTATCTATCTATCTATCTATCTATCTATCATCTACCTATATCTATCATCTATTATCTCCCACCTTTATTACTTTGTAAGTAATTCAACATGATGAACATTTATAATATTCCTTCTTCATGCTAATTTCACCACAACAACCTGTATGGTGAGCTGGGCTGAGAGAAAGTGACTGGCCCAAGGTTACCCAGTCAGTTTTCATGAATAAGATGGAACTAAAATTCACAGTCTCCCAATTTCTAGGCCAGAACCTTCACCACTACATTAAAAGATGAGGATGGGGTGCTTAGGGCAGTGCTTGTCTTCTTGCCTGTGACAAATCATTATTTTTGCCCACTCCAAAGAATGTGAGAATACATCACTTCCAACATACCCGATTCTCTGCCTTACTATATCTCAGGATTTGTTCAGAGGATAAAGGGAGAGACTAGCTCTATAGGGTTTAACTGGGCCTCTTTATCCAGCATGAAGTTCCTTTCGCTCATTAAATCCATGTAATCTGTAATTAGTGCCTGTTTTAGGCTCATATTTCTACTTGTCTGTTCAATTTCAGAAACTATTTAACTATAAATTTGTGCAATATGATGTGGATTCAGATCAGCCTGTGAGAGATGAGAAGGGGCTCTGTATCACAGTGCCTACAGGTATGTTTTCTAAGACAGGTGGACAACAGAAAGCTAAGCACATTTAAGAAATATCAGACTTTGCATCATCAAGAATTCACCCAATAGAAAGATATACTACCTTCAGTGTAATCTTTTCATACCTGCTCCTCCAACTCTATTGGGCTTCAATTGATTCAAAACTTGAAACAATGGAATAGCTTCAATCAATGGCTTCAAAACTGTCATAAATCACAGGCAACATCAGATATATGGCAGTTTCCCAACATTTGCAACTTTATAGACCACAGGGGAGGAAGAGGGGATGATTCCACGCAAGCAGCCATAGCACACATGTGCAGCACCATTTGCATGAGTAGTATGCACATGTGTCCCCCATTCATGCACATGGAGCACACATGCCCATGCTATCCCATTGCTCAAATAAGTGGAGTTGCGTAGGCATGCTTACCCCATGCTTCCATGGCCCAATTGCAAACAGGTCACAAACAATTAGCAGGCTGCAGCCTAGGAATTGGGGATCCCTGGTCTATGGCAATTAGTAATATGATATATTATTAAAAGAAAATTCATATATCCATTTTTCTTTAAAAAAATTTTTTTTTAAAAATCTAAAACTTTCACTGTTTTGGAGACTATAAGGGCCTTAGTGGTGCAGTGGTTAAAGTGCAGCACTGCAAGCTACTTCTGCTGCATCCAGCTCCCTGCAATTTGGCAGATTGAATCTCAAGATTGACTCAGCCTTACATCCTTCTAAGGTGGGTAAAATGAGGACCCAAATTGTTGGGGGCAATATGCTGATTCTGCTAAACTGCTTAGAGAGGGATGGAAAGCACTGTGAAATGGTATATAAGTCTAAGTGCTATTGCTATATGTAAAAATATCAAGATGGTAGCTGTGACTGTGCAATCAAAACTTTAACCCTTTTAATGGCTTGTGAACTGGTTGTTAAATTATCCACATACCCCTCCACCTCCCTGCTATCAAAGTGGATCCTGAGCACTGTGCTGCTCTGCAATGGAGTAATGGGCAATGAAGTGGCTGGTGCAAGGGAAGGAGAAGGCTGCTTTCCCTCCTCCTTCCCTTGTGCGGGCTCCTCTGTTGCCCATTTCTCCATTGCAGCGCAGTGCCCAGGATCCACTTTGATAGCAGGGTGTGGGTAATTTAACAACCAGTTCGCCCAGGGTCAGGTTGGCCATCGCAGGAGGCTCATCCCATATGTGTAGTGGAGCTGGAGGATGGAGATGGGCCACGCCTCCCACAACAGTTAACCTGACCCTGGAAGAACCAGTTGTTAAATTATGTGAATCCCATCACTGAGTCAATCTCTTGAATTTTTTAACAACTACCCTTCCCCATGAATACTCCTGAACTGTTTTTACCCGAACAATCCAGACTGCATGCATATTCCAAAGATAATACAGTGGAACCTCTGGTCATGAATGCTTCTGAACACTTCCAAATTGGGTTCCAACCAAAAAATCCACATTTTTAAATTGGATCATGATTCAAAAATTAGATGGTGATCACACACGGACGTGGCTGAGTCTCTTTCCGTACTGATTTCCCATTCCTCACCATTTTTTTTTTTTGTAGGCACATGTACAGTCAGTCTCACTTCCAGTCATGATGAAATCAGGTTGCAACTGAAGTTACGGAACAAATTACGGTCATGACCAGAGGTTCCACTTGCTTACATCTTTCTATTGCTGTATGCTTGGCTTACAATCCTTGCTTCATGCAAGGATTTTGATTCAAGAATGAGGGTGCTAGCAGATTCCAAGAATTACTATGTTGCAGTGGCATTTTATTGGAGATTCCAGCCATTTCTTTGTAGAAGATTTAGGGGGTTCTTTTTACATTTCCTAATGCTACTGTATTACCTGTGAAATTTTTAAAAAATCTTTTCAGCAAAGCATAGTAGAAATGGAAATATGGCATTCTCTTGCTTTTTGTTCAATGTGAAGCAAATGGCAAATCAGTATGTATCATTACAGTATTGTCATAAAAATAGTACATATTGTATTTGTATTAAGACCATAGATGGCATGATTACTTGGAAAATACAAATCAGGAACACAGATAAAAATAAAGAGACATTATATACAAAAAGGACACAAAGCAGAAGTTCTGAATCACAGTATATAGAAGATAAAGCAACCTAAAACTAATAAAGATACCAGTGTATGCAAAATAGATGTTTGTGCAGGTAAGATTATCAACCTTGATGCCAACCAAAACCAAGTATTTAATAGTGAGTGTCATACCAAGTGCATTAATCAAACAGGTGGCAAGAAAGTAGGGGCAGGAAGGCACAACATAGGTTATGGAGACAGTAAACACAGTGTCAGACATAAAGATCTCAAGTGCCTATATACAAATGCACAAAGTCTGGGGAACAAGCAGGGTGAACTCAAACTAAGAATACGGGAAGGTATATTATGATATAGTTCTAATAACAGAAACTTGGTGGGATGAAACCCATGACTGGAACATACTGGTAGAAGGATATAAACTATTCAAAACCCCAGACCCCATAAAAGAGGAGGTGGAGTTGCACTATATGTAAAGGACCACTATATTGCTATAGAAATGCATGAAACCAAAGACAAAAACCTCCTAGAATGCATATGGGTCAATATAAAAGAAAAAAAGAATGACATGGCCATAGGTATATATTATAGGCCACCCAATCAAGCAGAAAAAATAGATGTCCTTTTGCCAGCCAACTAACAAACATATGCACAAAACACACAACAATGCTAATGGGAGACTTCAATTATCCTGATATCAATTGGAATATTAATTCTGCACCAAGTGAGAAATCAAATAAGTTCCTAACCAACCTAGCTGACAACTTTGTTGTCCAGAAGGTAGAGGGTGAAACTAGAGGGACAGCCATACTGGACTTAATTCTTACAAACAGAGAACAAGTGATAGAGGGAGTTGAAACTTCAGGAACCTTGGGTGAGAGTGACCATGTCATTCAATATAACACAAACACAAGCAACAGAATATGACACCAGAGTCTTGGACTTTAAAAGAGCTGATTTCAATAAGCTCAGAGAGAACTGATTCCATGGGTGAAAATCCTAAAGGGGAAAACAACTCAAAAATCTTGGGAAACTCTAAAAAGTATGATCATAGAAGTCCAGACCAGCACAATACCACTGAGAAAGAAAAACAAGAAATCCAAGAAGAAACCAGCATGGCTGCACAAAGATCTCTCTGGCAAATTGAAAGAAAAAAAAGGACAAGTACAAAAAATGGAAAGAAGGACATACAACTAAGGCAGAATATCAGCAGATAGCCAGAATCTGCAAAGACGAAGTCAGGATAGCAAAGGCTCAGAACAACAAAGATTTGCAACAAAAGTCAAAGATAATTTAAAAAGTTTCTTCCAACATATAAAGAACAAGACAAAAACCAAGGAAACAGTCGGTCCACTAAAGAGAGAAGATGGCAAGGAAGTAACAGACAACAGAGAGAAAGCAGAACTGCTTAACTCATTCTTTGCATCCATCTTCACACAAAAAGAAACTATAGCTCAACCCATCAAAAACATAACTGTAAAAGACAGACCAGAAATAAAAGTTAAAATACGCAAAAAAAAAAAAAAAGTAAGGGAACACCTGTCTGATCTTGATGAAAACAAATCACCAGGGCCTGATGGATTACACCCCAGAGTTTTAAAGGATCTGGCAGAGATCATCTCAGAACCACTGCACCATATCTTTCAAAAATCCTGGAGCACCAGGGAACTACCAGAGGACTGGAAAAGAGCTGATGTGGTTCCCATCTTCAAAAAAGGAAAAAAAAAACAGATCCAGGAAACTATAGACCCATCAGCCTAACATCAATAACTGGGAAGATACTGGAAAAGATAATAAAAAAAGCAGACCTGCCAACTTCTATAAACAAGTAAAGTAATAACTAGCAGTCAGCACGGGTTTGTTAAGAACAGATCATGCCAAACCTGTTATATAGTCGGAGGACACACGAGGCAGACACGGAGCTGAAGGCTAACATCTCTTTATTGGAGCATAACAGGTTGCCGCGGCTGCCCTGGTTGGGCTGGCAGCCCAGAGGGCGAGGACTGCCGACGCCGTTTGGCAGCCGCCTTTTATAGCCGCTGCCAAACGGCAACAACCAATGGGCGTGATCAGTGCTCCCGCCAGAAATGCGGACCAGACTGGGGACTGAAGTCAGGCAGGGACACAACACCCCTTCCCCCTAGCTAGGGACATGGCAGACCAGACTGGGAACTGCAGTTGTCAGGGACACAACACCCCTTCCCCCTAGGCTAGGGACATGGCTGACCTGCAAATCGGCTCCTAGTCCCAGGGGATAATGCGGACCAGACTGGGGCTGTGGTCAAGCAGGGACACACCCCTTCCCCCCTGGCTAGGGACATGGCAGACCTGCAAATAGGCCCCCCAGTCCCAGGGGATCCCCAGCTGGGGTAATGTCCTTTGCCGGTAGACCAGGTCCGGCTGGGGCTGCTCAGTGTCTCTCGAGTTGATCGGGGCCTTCAGGGAGCGTTCGGCATTGGCTGGGTAGACCGGAACCTGCAGGGAGCTCTCGTCGTCGGCGAGGTAGATCGGGCCCTGCAGGGAACTCTTGACGGGGTAGATCATGGCTCTCAGGGTTTGACAGGTAGACCGGCTCGTTGTCGACGGGTGCTTGGTAGATCGGGCTCTCGGGGCTTGACAGGTAGACCGGCTCGTTGTCGACGGGTGCTTGGTAGATCGGGGTCTCGGGGCTTGACAGGTAGACCGGCTCATCTCGGCGGCTTTTGGAATGGCGGCATTCGTCTCCTCAGTGAGGGAGGCTTTGAACTTCGCGCTCTTGGTAGCGCCAGCAGCAGTGCCTGGCAGGGGGGGTTTCTCCTCAGCAATGGAGGCTCTGAGCGTCGTGCTCACGGTAGCGCTGGCGGCAATGCCTGGCGGGGGGCGTTTTCTCCTCGGCAATGGGGGCTTGAGCGTCGTGCTCTCGGTAGCGCCAGTGGCAGTGCCTGGCGGGGGGGGCGTTTTCTCCTCAGCAATGGAGGCTCCGAGCTTCGTGCTCCCAGTAGTGCCAGCGGCAGTGCCTGTCACCTCAGTAGTTGTGACTTCGAAAATCGCGCTCTGAGAAGAGCGTTTGCAGCTGCGCCGGTCAGGCGGTGTCTGTCTCCTCGGCTGAGGAGGCTTTTTGAATTTCGCGCTCTTTGTGAGCGCCGGCGGCTGCGGCTTCAGTGCCCGTGACTTCGCTCTAGCGACTACAGCTCAAAAAGCTACAGAGGCTTTTTTGAATTTCGCGCTCTTTGTGAGCTCCGGTGGCTGCGGCTTCAGCGCCCGTGGCTTCGCTCTTAGTGACTACAGCTCAAAAAGCTACAGAGGCTTTTTTGAATTTCGCGCTCTTCGTGAGCATCGGCAGCTGCGGCTTCAGCACCCGTGACTTCGCTCTCAGTGACTAGCTCAGCTGATTCAGTCTGGTTGCCTCTCCTTTGTGCGATCCCACCTTCGTCGCCAGTGTTATATAGTCAGAGGACACACGAGGCAGACACGGAGCTGAAGGCTAACATCTCTTTATTGGAGCATAACAGGTTGCCGCGGCTGCCCTGGTTGGGCTGGCAGCCCAGAGGGCGAGGACTGCCGACGCCGTTTGGCAGCCGCCTTTTATAGCCGCTGCCAAACGGCATCAACCAATGGGCGTGATCAGTGCTTCTGCCAGAAATGCGGACCAGACTGGGGACTGAAGTCAGGCAGGGACATAACACCCCTTCCCCCTAGCTAGGGACATGGCAGACCAGACTGGGAACTGCAGTTGTCAGGGACACAACAAAACCAATCTATTTTCATTCTTCAACACAGTGACTAAATTAGTAGACCAGCAAAATACTGTGGACATAATATATTTAGATTTCAGCAAAGCATTCGACAAAGTAGACCACAACCTACTTCTTAGTAAGCTAGAAAAAAGTGGAATATATAGCACCACCACTAGATGGACTCGCAACTGGCTGGCAAACCGTACTCAATGAGTAGTCCTTAATGGGTCTAAGTCTACATGGAGGGAAGTAAGCAGTGGGGTGCCACAAGGTTCCATCTTAGGCCAGTACTCTTCAATATCTTCATTAACGACTTAGATGAGGGAATAGAAGGGGAACTTACTAAATTTGCAGATGATACTAAGCTGGCAGGAATAGCTAACATCCAAGAAGATAGGCTCAAGATCCAGATGGATCTTGACAGACTAGAACACTGGGCCATATCTAACAAAATGAAATTCAATGTAGAGAAAAGTAAAGTCCTACACACAAAAGTACACATATAGACTGGGTGAAATCAGGCTCAACAGCAGTAGCTGTGACAGTGATCTTGGAGTCTTAGTGGACAACCAGCTAAATATGAGCCAGCAGTGTGCAGCAGCAGCAGCCAAAAAAGCTAATGCAATCCTAAATTGTATTAACAGAGGGATACAATCAAGATCAAGGAAAGTACTAATACCACTCTATAAATCCTTAGTAAGACAACACCTAGAGTACTGCATCCAGTTTTAGTCACCACATTATAAAAAAGATGTTGAGACTCTAGAAAAAGTACAGAGAAGAGCAACTAGGATGATTAAGTGACTAGAGGCTAAAACATACAATGAACAGTTGCAGGAACTGGGCTTGGCTAGTTTAGTAAAGAGAAGGACCAGGGGAGACATGATAGTGGTCTTCCCATATTTGAGGGACTGCCACAGGGAAGAAGGGATCAAGCTATTTTCTAAAGCGTCTGTAGGCCAGACAAGGAATAATGGATGGAAACTGAACAAGGAGAGATTTAACCTGGAAATAAGGAGAAACTTTCTGACAGTGAGAACAATCAACCAATGGAACAGCTTGCACTCAGAAGTTGTGGGAGCGCTATCACTTGAGACTTTCAAGAAGAGATTGGACTGCCATTTGTCAGAAATGGTGTAGGTTCTCCCGCTTATGTGGAGGGTTGGACTGGATGACCTACAAGGTCCCTTCCAACTCTGATTATCTGTAATCTGTAACTTTGTAAGTAGAATGTATGGCTATCATTAGGATACAAACTTCTCTTCACATATTAATGACAATATAAAGCTTTTCTCATTTGTTCATGTTGTACCAAATTGCAAGGGAAGTGAGTGGATGGGAGATTAGACTATCTCATATTTTAATAATAAAGCTTTTTAAACTGCACTGGCTACATCAGCATAACATTAATTGTAAGCACAATAGTGCGTATGTTTATCATACATATAGTGTGTATGTTTATTCTTATAAAAGGCTACTCAGATTCTAAGTGTATTTAATGTTTAGCACCTTGAAACTTATGCTTGCTTACTGTTCTCTTTGATAAAGGGTGTATCTGAAAGAGTATAAATGTAGATACATTACTCAACAGCTAGTTCAGAGTTTCTTTCTTTGTAAATATTTGTTCATCTTCCTAACCTATCTCTGTTTAGCAAATCTTGTAGAGAAGGGCTTAAAAACCATTTTTATTACTACCAATTTAAGGAATCTTTATGGGAATCCATAGTCAATTGATAAATAACTAATTTCTAAAAGAAAAAAATGGGCATAAAATGAACACTTTTAGAAACTTAAGACCTATTTGAACACTCTTTTTTCAACCAGAAACCCTCTAGATATATCAGATTTTAATTCTTTTTGATTATGTTAATAGAGATTATGCAGGGGTGGGATTCTACAGGTTCGCACCTATTTGCTAGAACAGGTTGTTAACATTCTAAGCAGTTCAGAGAACCGGTTGCTAGAAGAAATTATTGGCCTAATCCTGTAAGGAAGGCAGGAAGGAAACATTCTGGTCTGCCTCTTATTATATTCTTGGCAGGACTAGACTTCCTGTCTCAGGAACTTCTCTGGAGTTTTTTTTCCCCTCCTTTGCTGGTACTTTGCTTGTGTGGAGTGACCATTCAAAGTTACAATGGCACTGAAAAAAAGTGACTTATGATGTACAATATATGCATATGCATGTGCATGTGTGTATGTATATATATGGAGGACAAGGGAGTATAGGGATGGGGGTATATAATCTCCTTTACCTCCTTAAAACAAATGTCAAGTTATTTAATTAATATAACCAATACATATATTGATGTAACCAATATAATCAATAAAAGTATCCTACTACACCTCTGCATGCTCAGCACTCTTGCTTTGTCTGGTTGAGGATGTTCTGAAAAAACATGAATGAGAGCTACTTTTCATGGTCAACTTAAAGTCTTATTCTCTCAGTTTTAAGACCACAGGAAGCTAAATTTGATCAAATTTGCAACCTTTATCGTGTTATAGATGTAATGCTAGCAAATATTGCTATCTTTACTTGCACTATACAAGCATGTTAAAAGCAGGAATTGGTACATTATTCTTCTAGTATAGTTTCCCTCTCCTCCCACCAAACATCACCTGCCAACATGTAGACATGACCAATCACTTTTCTATGACATGGATCCTTTGAGGAGAGGATAGACTATCTAGACAGACTGTATATCAAAAATCCATTCATATCAGCTAATAGTCACACTCCTTTTGGACACATTGGATGATGATGATGATGTCATGAGGACACAGTGCAAAAAGATTGCTAGCACATATTTATGCTGTTGAGAAGATAGTACAGATGAGAAAAAGCTGGGATTATATCTCCCTTTGTCTTCTGGGAAGCTATTAGGGTCTATAGTAGATGATGATTTAGAGATCGGATAATTCTTATTTAGAGGTTATTGGTTCTTTGTTGTGAGACAATCATTTATTGATTCCTCTTGATTCTCTTTTCATGTTCTAGGACAGGCAGGTTTAATGGTGGTAAAGATAAGTGAGACAAACCCATTTGAAGGCTATGCAGGAGATTATGGGAATACAGAGAAGAAAATTCTCCGTAATGTCCTGAAGAAAGGAGACTGCTATTTTAATACTGGAGATCTTTTGAGGGAAGACCATGAAGGTTTTATCTATTTCCATGATCGAGTGGGAGATACTTTCCGGTAAGTCTCACTATTCATTCAGTTGGTAAATTGCATCTGCAGTTTTACCTATCTGAAGTAAGATATTGAATGGGCATGATTCATTTGTGTTCACTGTTACTTTATGACTTTTTATTGCAGTTAAAAATTTGAAATTCATTTGACTGAAGACAGTACTGTTCAAAGATGGAGAGCCAATGTGGTCTAATGGTTACAACACCAAGTTAGAAGCCAGAAGTCTATGAGCTTTTAGTCCTGCTTTAGTCATAAACACTGGCTGGGTGACTCTGGGCCAATCACTCTCTAACAACCCATTGAGAGAATTGATTGATCAATGATTCATGAAATATCCAATATGAACCACATTTCTGCTTTGAATGATCTAAAAGCAGAAACACAATTATGTCTAAAAACTCTCAAGAGCCAAATTATTGCTATTCTACAATACAATATATCACTATATTTACAGTGTGCTAACCAACTCCCAGAATTCCCCAACCAGCATGCATCATAAAGTTGTGAGGGTTTGAAAAATACCGTATAAATCATAGAAAATGCCAAAGAACGACTGAATAATAAACAAACCCCAAACCCCCTGTCTATGGTACCAACCCAATACAGGGCACTGATGATGGTAATAATTGTCTGCAAAGAAACAAGCAAACTCAGAGAGCACTAAAACCCAACACTTCAACCCCGAGCTGCATATATTCTTTTCTAATGGATAATATATTTTGTTAGATTTTATTGTGATGGTGACCTAATCCATGTTTATATTATAATTAATCAATGGTTTGTTGAGTGACCATAGTAAATAACTTCCTCTACTGTTAAGAATTCTCTGTGTGATTGCTAGCAGGCTCATCCCTTTGAGTTTACTTCAGTGGGTTAAGTAATACTGTCCCCTGATCATAAACCCAGAAAAAAAATCTTGTGAGTGAAACCATCTATGGGAATATCCAAATGCTAAATAATACATAATTCTACCACCCTGTGAAAGAAATAAACACTTCCTGTTTTGGCAGTTGGAAAGGGGAGAACGTAGCCACTACTGAGGTTGAGATGACATTGGTAGCTTTGGATATCATTGAGGAAGCCAATGTATATGGAATACCAGTACCAGGTGAGTTTGAAACAGCTATATACACTTCTACACACCCTTTCCAATGCACATTTAGAAATCTTATTTGCAGAAGATACTTAATCTGGTTACTGGATTTACCCATTTAGTGGGTTTCTGAAATATCCTGAAGAATTACCTTAACCCTAACCCTATTAATTTATTTGTCAACTTGTATGCCTCCTTAGCCACAGGGTGGAGCCTGTTGGACTTCCAGGTGTTCCATAGGGCAGGGAGGGCAACAGAAAATAGACACTTCTAAGGACCCATAAGATAATAGTGTTTAAAGGAAGGGACCTGGAATGTACTTACAAGGAAGACTCAGGGAGAGGCAATCCTTCAGTAACCAGGTCCTGTGACAAGTAGGGCTTTAAAAATGATAACCAGCACAATTATACCCAGAGGAAACTGGAAGCTAGTAGAGCGAGCATAGCACAGATATGACACAAGCAACTTTGAAGACCCAACACATTACATTTTGCTTCATTCTGGACTAGATACTTTCTGAATGGTCTTTAGAACTCAATATGCTGTAGAACATGCAGTATAGTAATCCAAACAAGAACTGACCAAGGCATTGAAATCTGGAAATATTAATATTGGGAATAATCTGTTCTTATTGCATTGTCTGATAACCATTTGGCAGTCTTGTTTAGGGTGACCTGAGTGCTTTTAGGTAGATTGGGATCAGAGGTTTTCCTGAAGGTCATTAAGAGGAGCATGCTGGAATTTGTCAGACAAAATCATTGAAAGCTGCTTTCCAGTTTTGAAGCAAATGCTATATAGGTTTTAATGGCAAAGTCTTGCCTAGTAGTGTATAGGCAGATTGATCCTGTTGTACCTCAGGAATTGACAGATTCCTCATGCCTGTGAGTTCAACCAAATATTAGATCCATGTCTATCCATGTCCATCACATTCACAATTTGATATATAGTGGAATGTTAGATGTAATTGTTTTCCTGAGATAAGGGGTTATCTCCCCTTCCTTTAAAGAGGTGGTGGTTCAACCCTTCCTCATAAAGGCATCATAGACTGAATTGTACTGGACAATTTTTCCAATCTCCAATTTCCCATTTTTTAGGGAAAGTTGTTGAGAAGGTGGTCATGCAGAAACTTCAGAAAATCATCTTTGTTTTGCATTATTGTAACATGATTTACATGAGGCTGTCCTTGAAAAGTACCTCAAAGATGTGGCTAGTGAAAAATGTAGCTGCGTGGGAAGTTATGTGCACTCCATGATCAGTGCATATTTCACCTCTGATCTGCAAGCTACATTGGTTGCTCATTATCTTCTGAATTCAATGCAAAGTGTTGCTAATAGCAATAGCACTTAGACTTACATACCACTTCATAGTGCTTTACAGCCCTCTCTAAAGCAACAATTTTATAATAACTTATAAAGCACTACATGAAATGGGACCAGGTTATTTGAGAGACCACTTTTCTCTCACTACATTTACACATTGAACTGGATCTGGCAAGAAGGGCATGCTCCAGGTCCTCTGAGTCAAGAAGTGTAATTTGGACCAATTATAGCTTACATGTGGTCTTCCAAGAGTAGCCACATGCAGAGCAGTATTACAGTAGTCCAAACACTAGTTGACTAAGCTATACATACTGTGAGAAGTATCTTCCAATTTAAGAAAGGATATAATTGGCACTCAAGAGAGATGTGTGCAAAGCCCTATTGGTCATAACCACCACCTGTTCATTGAGCAGAAGTCAAGTGTAGGGCGCACTCTTCAAATTAGGGATGCCATCCCATCCCATCAAGAGCTAAAGATAATAAATCAGCCTGACTTGAAAACCACACAGAGTTGAACCTGTGCCTCTTCCTCCCCAACCAGACCCTTGCATCCTCCAGGGATTAAGATAGGGCCTCCACAGCTTCACTCAAAAGGGTTTCTTTGCACATTAAAGTGAGACATAAAAAATTAACCAAACTTTGTCACAATGCAAACGAAGCCAATAAGTATTTCACAGTTTAAGCATGTTACATAAACAGTGACTATCCTGAATGGGTGGCACTGACAAGTTGGTTAGATTATTCATTACTTGTAGTCTATCAGCTATTTCACATCTGTAAATTGATTTATAAAAGCCCAGAGGTAGAAAAATCTAAGCTAGATAGAATTGAGAAGTAGCCCCATCTTTTATTTTAGTTACTGCCATCTTGAAGATTTACCTTGCACTGCAAGTAGACCTGCAGCATTTTTCCTTATGTGAAACTACTCTTTAATTATGTAACAAAAATGGATATTTTGTGATATGGGAAGTAGCAGGATAAGGCTAAATCATAGCATCAGTCATAATCTGAGCATGAGATATTGTCAGCTTCATGGGGACAGAGGATAGAATGAGGGTCACCAGGCCATTTGAGTGAGGTTTCATAATGAATGAAAGTTGCTTTACCTAGCTACATCAACCAACATTTTTATTATTATTTTTGCATAAAACATGTAGCCCTACTATCCATTATCTCATTCTGGTTTATTCCAGGGCATGAAGGAAAGATTGGGATGGCAGCCATACGGCTGAAGGATGGATGCCCCTTTGATGGAAAGAAGCTGTTCATACATACCAAAGATCATCTACCTAGCTATGCCATACCCCGCTTCATTCGTATCCAGGTGAGAAACAGTTAATTTAGGCTCTTGCTTACCATTAGAAAAAAATAACTCAAAACCTCAGTATCTTAAAGTATAATAGAAGTAGAAGTGCTGATGCCAATCATAATATTAATGGAAAAGAAGTAAATGTAGGTTTGATTTTATTAAATAATAATAATAGGAATACTAAGGATTGTTAGTAATGAAAGCCGCCAACTGAATATGCATGGAATTTCTTTGCTTTAAAAATGCTTTCATTTTATCAAAAAGTAGAAGTACATTGATTATTTATGAGCCATGGTGGCACAGTGGTTAGAGTGCGGTACTGCAGGCTACTTCTGTTGACTGCCAACTGCCTGCAATTTGGCAGTTTGGATCTTACCAGACTCAAGGTTGGCTCAGCCTTCTATCCTTCTGAGGTGGGTAAAATGAGGCCCCAGATTGTTGGGAGCAATATGCTGACTCTGTAAACTGCTTAGAGGGGACTGTAAAGCACTATGAAGCAGTATATAACTCTAAATGCTATTGCTATTTAAAAAAACATAATTAGGAACAAAAATGGAATTAATGAAAATAAAATGTGTATATAAATTCATCTGAAATGAATTTCAGCAAGGCAAGCTGAAAATGGGGAAAGCCTTGGGTAAAAGTTGAAAAAGACAATGTGATGATGCTTGTGGGGTGTGGAGGAGATGGAGGGGAATAGGTTTCAGCATTTCCAGTATTTCCAGAAGGCACAGAGGCTTCCCTTGAGCCTCTGGGAAGGTGAAAACTGCCTCAATCGGTCCAAAAATCAGCTGGGAGACATGCACATGTGCAGTGCAGGTAGGTTTGGCTGGGGCTCATGTGCCCACACAAATGCCTCTGCATTCCACTTGTGGCACATATGCCATTGGTTCACGATCACGGCCCTAGTTACTCTTTAGTATACAACATATACAATCTAATGATTTATTGACAAAATGGATGATGATACAGGCTGAGATCTTATAAGCTTCCATAGGTTGTTGTGAGTATAGCATCTCTCCTTCTGAACATTGCCCTCCATGATTCTTTTGGGCATTGACTGCAAGAGAGTACAGAGTACAGATACACTAGTGTTTTTTCAACGGATCATTAACATCACATTTGAAAATAAATCTAGCACTCTTGTGAGAGGCCCCTATTTCTATGCTGTCCAAATTCCATTCAAACAGGGAAGAGAGTATAAAGAGTGTCGGTCCTAGAACATTGTCTTGGGGGATACCGCTGTTAACCGGAGCAGGGTTTGATATAGTGCTCCCTATTTTTACTATTTGTTGCCTGTTTGACAGGAATACTTGACAGGAATTACACTTATGAAGGGATCTGGAAATGCCATAAGAGTTTAGTTTTAACAGTAGTTTGTCACGTACCACTGAATCAAAGGCTTTGCAGAAATCTATGTAATTTGCTTTACCAAGGTCAAGTAGAGGAGTCCATATGTGTAGGAGTTGTAGATTGCAGGACAACTTTTTCCTGAAACCAACTTGTTTTTTTGACAGTAGGTTATTTGACTCTAAGTGGAGGGCAGTGAATTGGTTAATGATTGATTCCATGACTTGATGCAACACAGCGAGATTGGTCTGTAGTTTTCAGTCAGGCTGGGATCATCTTTTTTGAAGATAGGGATGACCGTTGCTAAGGTCCATAGGTTTGGTAAGGAGCCGGTTCTGAATGATATCTCATATATAATGCTTAGAGGTTCTGCTATGGCAGTGGAGAACTTTTTAAAGAAGTATGCACATAATCTATTGGGGCCAATAGATAGGGATGATTTTAGGTTACATAGTGCCTTTTCTATGTTATCTTCTGTAAAGTCAACATATTGTAGATCATTACAGTTAGTTGTGGTACGACTAGGAAATGTAGGGCATGAGCCATTGCTGTTTACAAAGGCTGAACTGAAGAATGTATTGAAGAGGTTGGCCTTCATATGATAAATATGGTTATGTCCTCTTAGCCATGCTGTTTGAGATGTGGGTTTATTGTATAAAGTAATTTTTTTAATCTGACCTCCCTATCTGTGACCTGTTAGTTGTGCAACTGGATAGGTGGTGAAACAAGCTGTTTTTAAAATCCCCAACACTTGTTCATTCCTGCCTCACTACACATTAAGAAAGTGATGTGATGGGTTTTCTTAAGGGGAAATAACACTCGGTGGGAATCCATTGAACAATTACTTTATTTGCCTCACACTAAGAGAGTAAGGGAAGCACCATTCACTAGCTTTGTTACTGAGGCAGGGTTAGGATTAGGGTAGGACAAATCCGTGACTGACAAATTCGTGACTTTGTTTTCACTGCTGCCTTTACTTCCTGCAGGAAAAACTGGAGATTACAGGAACTTTCAAGCTATGCAAAAGTCACCTGTTGAAGGATGGATTCAATCCTGCCACAATCAGTGATCCCCTCTTCTTCCTGGATGATTCAGAGAAGAACTACATACCCATGACTGAGGAGATCTACAGCTCCATTTTAGAAAAGAAAAGAAAACTCTGAAAGAGAAACATAACTGTGTTTCCTTAACAGCTTTAGAAGTGCAGTCATTCATGTTTTGATTTTTTCTCAAGAAGGAAAAAGTTATGGCCAGAATATTAATTCTTCTTAATGTATTTGTAGTTTCTTGAGAGATCTGTTTAATATAGTAGTTGGGGATTTTTTTGGAAATAATAAAATGTTGCCACTTTCTCTTGCCACAGAAAACATTTGCTTTCAAGTGAAGCTTATTCTGAAGAAAGGAGGAAGGTTAATTCTTTTTCCTCTGGTGCCATTCCTCTGGTGCCATATCCTGCTTTGTTTCCAGTGTGGGAGAAACTATATCAAAGGAGGCTCAAAACATTAATACATTGTTACAATTTATATCAATACATGTTCATGCACACGTCTAACATTTTCCCCAAGAACCACTCATTTCTAAACTCTGATCCTCTTGAAATACCTCTCTGTATACTATTATTATTTTGAAATATATTTTAATATCACTGTAATCTAGCAACCAATCTTGGACAAGAGAGGCCTGGATTCAAATTACCATATGATCATGATGCTCACTGGATGAATTGGACCACTTTTTCTCAGCCTAACCTCATAAGGGTCTAATCATTCAATGGGTAAAATATGGAAGGAGACTCATCACACTTTTTGTATCCCACCTTGAGGTAAAAAAAAAGGGGGGGGATATTATAATCTTCACCTTGACAAACACGATCAAAACTGTCACATCCACAAATATTTTGGATTTTTAAAAAAATGAGAACTATATTGCAACAATCAGAGAAACATGATACTCAAAGTACAACTGTAGTGTGCTTTCATGGTCTTCTGTTCATCCATCTGAGAAGTATAAATCAGATGAGATCTGATTCAAGTTCAATCTGAGGTTCAAACTGAATAAAACTCTGGAGCATTCCTAGTTAGAAGTATCTCATACAGGCAGCTTAAGCTGATGCCCTCATGCTTTCCAGAAGTGATGGGAGAAATTCTCTCAGACCTCCTAAAAGGAGATACCATGTTGAAGTTTGTGCTATAAATTAAGAGATGTAGATCTAATTCTGGTTTGTGAACTATCAGACATTTAAGTCAATTTCTCTAAGATATTAACAGTGCAAATCTATTCTTTTTGTTCAGAGTTCAATGGAAATGAATATAATATAGGAATATAATGAGTATATAGACATATGAATATAATTTTGTTATCCTGAGAGAATCATATTCATACACAATTCCAATAGCAATTATGTGAACAGGATATTTGATCATGAAATCAATTTGCCAAATTAACGATATTTTATTAAATTGCTAAATAATTTAATTCCTGCTTTTTCTATTTCTGAAACTACAGTACAGGGAATGGTCATCATATAGACAGAGATGAACGAACAATAAATTATAGCTGTGATCATAGTTGTAATGGTACAGCCATATCCATGTCAGGCATATATCAGAAACTAACAGCTCCTGAAAAGAGAAATGAACAGTTCTTGAAAAGGGAGGGGAAGGTCTTCTGAGAACCTTTCAAATTCTTCATCTTGAAAACCATAATAAAACTTTGCCAGATTTTAGATCATGTTATAAGGAATAGTTTGGGATAAAAGTAATTTACCCAGTATCAGACAATAAACTTGAGGATAATCAGGGAGTTGAACTCTAATACAGGTCTACTTTAACATTTATATGATTTACTGTCCTTCACTTAAATACCTTTCTTTCCCAATAGTACTAAACTGTGGAATTGCTTTGCAAACTAAATAAACTCTTGGCAATATAGTTCTCATAAAATAATCAAATTGCCTAAATTATCTTACTCCAACAAACTTTGACTTTCTTTATTGGTTCACACTGAATTGTGCTTTTGTGGTCAACAACCTTTCTTCATCATTTTTAGCTGTCAGAAAGCAATTCCAGGAGGGAAGTCATTTGGAATGTGCCCTTAAGGCAAAGCTGAGCTAGGGAGCAGCTGTGAAGTGGCCTTCATTGAGTTCAGCAGCTAAGCAGGATGGAAACTGGTTGATACTTAGAAGGGAATCACCAGGAAAACTCGGAGTTAAAAGATAATCTAGATGCCAAAGAAACATAAAGGCAGGGGTGGGATTCTACCGTTTCTGTCCAGCTCTGTAGAACCGGTAGTTCTGAAGAGCAGCAGACAGAGAGCATACATAGAACAAGTTCTATGTCTGCTGCTGTTTTGGCCCACCCGCCCATCCAGGCTCTTACCTGACCTTTATTTCCTGCTTTTTCAACCGCAGCTGCTTTGCGTGACACAGCAGTGGTTGAAAAAGCAGGAAAAAAGTGCTTTTTCAACTGTTGTGCACCCACTCGCAGCGCTGCTCAGCTGTCGAGGCAGCTAGCTGATGACTATATACATGTGCGTGCAGTGTAAAAAAATGTAAAATCACCAAACTGGTAGTTACACCGGTTGGATCCCACCCCTGCATATAGGCCACAATGGAAAACCACTTCTGTATTATTGCCAAAAGAACTATATACTGTAGATACGGCCGCAAAGCCACCAGGAGTTGAACTCAACTTAAAGGACTTTTTATTGAGGTAAACATGGTATTTTCACCTAAAGAAATTTACTTTAGCATATAAACTCTTTTCAGAATACAACTTAAATCCAAATTACCTTGTGTAGAGTTGTAATTGCAGGAATGTTCCTATCTTGGATGGCAAACCTCAGATAAAGAATGTTTCCAAGCAAATACAACTCAGGCAAACAAAGTCACTAATCTAAAGGAGGATTAGAGAAAGGAAGTAAACATATGTTAGACTTTAACTAGAGATAATTAATTGTGTTAATTACTATGCTAAACAGTAATGAAAGTTAAGCAGTAACCAAAGTTAACCAATGTTGGAGGATAATTAAAAATGTGTATAAATGCAAGACTAGACTCCAATAAAGTTCATCATGATTCAGTTGTTCATGATCAAACACCTCGACTGCCTCATCATTACAACAACCTTGTACTGCTGTATAGCCTGCTCCTTACCTGTATTCTCATAATCTCCATTTCCAACTCCACATTCTCAAGTTTTCGTTCTCAAATTCTGCAACAGAATAGCTCCCACCTTCTTCATGCTTGTTTTTATTATCTAACCAACAGCTATTGAAAATGAGGCAGGCCCCTTATCTCTGCCCAGGCTTTTTACAGATTGTGGAAGTTTTTGTATGCTATTGCTGTGGCTTCTGATGCTTGTGTAAAACAGCAGGGTTTTAAAGATGCTTTTACCAAAAGGTTGGCAGTTCATGATCCAAGCATCATACAACAGGGTGAGCTCCCATCTTTGCCCCATCTCCAGCCAACCTAGTAGGTTAAAAGCATGCAAATGCAAGTAGGTAAACATTTCAGTGGGAATGTAACACCATTCTCTGTGCACATAGTCAGGCTGGCCACATGGCCATGGAACCAACTTTGGACAATTTGGCTCCCTCTACTAGGAAACAGAGATGAGCATCACTTCCTAGGGTCAGACCCAAATGGACAGGGGAACCTTTACCTTTAACACAATTGTTGAACATTCATTGGTTATTTATTTTTACTCAGCCTGCTGCCAAGTTCATTGCTTTTTACAAGAATCCTAATGAATATTCTCCCCACTGCCCCAACTCCAACACAACATTTCCCAGGTCAGAAATCCACTTTTTTTTTTTTGCTTCGATCTCTAACTTCATTTCAGTCCCAGCTTATCAGTGAGGCAGTTTTAAGATGGCCTTAGTACTGTTTTTAAATTATATTTATCACTCTTCCCAACCTATTTGCTCAGGTCCAAGGTGAGCATCAAGATCTGTAAGGCTTCATCACCTATTGGTATGGAGGGGAGACAGATTGTAGGGACAAACAGGCAATGGAAGCAGGGTTGAGATCAACCATGTGGATAGTAAACATTATGATGATCATACAGTAGTCTGACTCATGAATGGGTGTAAAACACTCCACCTCAACAGTGGGAAGGCTCTATGAGACAGTGACTAGATCAAAGTTATTCAATAAGTTTTATTGCTGCATGTCCTTTACTCAGGTTGGGAATTTTAAAAGTAATAATCCAACACATTTGCAACACACAGGGAAAGACTGATTTCCCATCTCTAGTTTTCATGTCTGCTATGGATTTTGGAGATTGTGTGGAGCTCCTGGAACTTGAAGCTCTATGCACCAAAAGCCACTCAATCTTACCAGGTTTCAGCTCCCATCCAGCTCTCATCAAGACTGATCATAGATGTATGCTAGGATCCTCCAGTCTACCAGGTTACAAAAGGAATAATGGATGGAAACTGATCAAGGAGAAGTTCAGCCTAGAAATAAGGAGAAATTTTCTGACAGTGAGACCAATCAACCAATGGAACAGCTTGCCTTCAGAAGTTGTGGGAATTTCATCACTGGAAGGTTTCAAGAAGAGACTGGACTGCCATCTGTCAGAAATGGTGTAGGGTCTCCTGTTCTTTTGGGGTGTGTGTTTTAGATTAGATGACCTGACAAAATCCCTTCCAATTCTATAATTCTATACGCTTCTGTAACTCAGTTGATTCTTTGTCAATCCAAAGTATCAGCTTGAACCCCCACAAATATTACATAGCTAATTAAATCATGATTATAGTAAGTCTCAATACATAGTTGCAACCCTTTTAAGTCTATTTAATTACTTTATAATCTCACTTAGAGGTCATTTGTAGAACACACACTTTAGAACACACTCTCTGTATATTGTAGAGAGAGATACAGTGTTCCTTTCCCACGGTCTTGGATCGTACTGTTTCCCAGTTGATTGATTTATAGTTTTTGAAAGAATAAGAGAAAGAAACATGTATGTCACTTTGAATAACTAAGAGAAAGGATAATCAGCCTAGTTTATGCTAACTACAAGAAACCTAAACCTTGTTAGTGCCTAGCATTTAGACTGCATAACAATATTGATTTTATTAGTGTGAATATTTCAAAATCTTCCTAAAGAATCTTCCTATTGAATTTGCAGACTTCATCAGTAAAGATACTGTCATCAGTATCTTTATAGAAGAGAGAGGTGAGATTAGGAACAGCAAAAGAAAGAATTACAAAGTCTGTGAGAATGAATATGAATTATAATGAAAGGAGATTACAGATTATATGGTCAGTAAAAGCATTGTTCTAGAATGTTAATATGACTCTCAGAATGATTTTTGATGAGGGCTGTCCACACCCTTAAGTATAGGCTTCCACCATTGGCTGGATTCAGACATTGTTTTTTCATGGTGATTACAATATATGGTTTAATGGAGCCCAGCTTACTAAATGTTGTTCTAAACCACTATCATTAACAAGCAAGCTTCTGATGGCCCCAAGGTATGAAATAAATTAGTCTACCAATGGCACCTACCAAATTAGATTTAGCTACTTCATG